GGATTCTGTACACGCTGATGAGTATGTAACACAAAGCGTATGCAGAGTCCTAGGAAGGCAGGAACAGAGGGTGGGAGGGTTTATGTTTGCTTTCATTTCTTAATCAGATTTCATGCAATCTTTCCAAGGTCACCCCCCAGCCCACCCCAGGGAGATGAGAAACTCTTCCTCTATGTGTGTCTGAGCGCTCCTGCAGAAGGCATCCTTACCCCCCCTCCGCTGAACCACACCATAACTCTGTGGGCTCACTGACACTCGGTGTGACCTACACTTCCTGTGAATGCTGTACGCACCAAATTCAGCCAGTAAGAGCTTGGTGGGGGGGCTCATGGAGAAGAGCATGGAAGGCCAAACACAAGAAGATCCACAGGATCCTTTTTCCAAACCTTCCTATAAAAGATTTTCCAGTTCAGTACTAACTGGCCTCTGCTTTATTTTTACCAGACAGAGGTCATCATCAGTGCTGTTTTAGGGGGGGCTTTAGCTCTTCCTCCTCCATGTTCCTGCTCCTCTCCCTCGGCCTCCTCCATGCTCGTACTCCTCTCCTTCTCCGTGCTCCTCTCCCTACTCCGTGTTCCCGCTCCTCTCCCTACTCCGTGTTCCCGCTCCTCTCCCTCTTCTTCCTCCATGCTCCTGTGCCTCTCCCTTGCCTCCTCTCCTTCCCTCCCTTCCTGCCTGAGTTGCCCCCTCAGTTGCCGGTCGCAGCAATTTGAATCATACGGGCACAGCTGAGGCTGTCACTCGTGTGCAGTCACACCTGCGCCGCTGCGTGTGTGTGTGCGCAGCCAAAACACACAACCTCATCTGAAGATGCAGTCGATGCCCGGAAACATCCCAACCAGCACGCTGCATATTAGACACAAGTAAATATCTATAATGATAATAATGTGAAATGTATTACAAACACATGCAAATACCCTGCCTCCACCATGGCTGCATACGGGAGAAAAACAACAGGTTAATGAATCCAGATTGGCAACTGGGCCTGAGTTTTGATTAAAATCCAGCCCCAGGCTTAATTCCAGCAGAGAGCTGCAATACAGGCCGTATGCAAAGCATAAATCTGGGATGAAGCATGCCCCATGTTTCTCGCGAAGCGGGAAGGTCATCGCAACATGGCGGAGAGGACGGGGGGCGGGTGAGGACCAGGAGGCTGCTTCCACATACCTGACTGACACGTCATTCCCCCGCACAGCAGCTATCAAGCGGCTGGATATCGGTGTGAGAGAAACGGCTGCTGCAGGCAAAAGACATAACAGTGTCTGTCTTTATGCTGGTCTTCTATGATATACAAGGTACGTTTGCCGACATGGTTCTTATTATGTGTGTATGTGTTTGTCCTGGGTGTTCTGTCGCCTTAGGTGCGATTGTGCTGAATGTGTGTGTGATGTATATATTACACGCCGGGGACATTTGGTCCCCAAAATTTTATAAAAACCTGTTATTTTGGTCCCCACAAGGAAAACCTCAACTTTATGAAAATCTGTAAACGCAATCAAAAACCTAAAAATGCCAGAAGTCTTGTGTTTTGTTTGGATACTTTTGGTTGACGCTAGGGCTGGGGTAAATGTTAAGGTTGCCATTGCTGGGATTAGGATTTTTTCCCCATAGAAAATAATGGATAGTCCCCACAAAGATGTAGACCTGTGTGTGGGTTTTTCCACATATGCAGCCTTTTGTACAGCCCTCTAACACCCAGAACATCACCACCCAGCTCACTGACACAGACAGTGTCACGTTCAGTCCAGGCCTACGACTGTAGCTAACATGCTTATTGTTACTAATACCGACTCAGCCTTCCCTTTCCCTCATTCATCTCCCGTTACCCCTCCGCCTCTCTGCTGTTCACCAAACAAACACGCCCAGCTCCATTCTGCATGTATTACCCGATGAAATGATGTGTGTATTTAAATAATGCAGGAGGCCCACGGTGTGCGTGAAGCAGCGGCCAGAGTGGCGAACAAGTCAATAAAAACCGGTGCAGAGCAAACAGAACTAGTCAGAAAAGATAAAGCAAGCAAGGCCTTCACAGAAGTGGGGAACGAGAAAGGATGAACGAAGGAAAAGGGAAGGGAACACAGGCTGGATACCAGAAGATTCCACGACAGGAGATCAGAATGTAGAGGAGGTGGTTCCACGTAACTAGAGGAGGTGGGGCCAACCAATCACATGTCTTGGTCCAGCCTCCTCTAGTTGCTTGGACCCACCTCCTGTACAATCTGACTGGTTATCTGAATTTTTGTTCTGCTCTCAGAACATTTTCTTACAAGTAGAATTTCCACAAAGGAAGGCAGAGGGGTGTGAGATCTGTACCGGCCTATTGATGGTCTTCTTCCCTACACAGGGAGCGGCTCCGCTTAGAAGCGCCATGGCGCCGGCATACCCACCATATACAGTAGTGCCCAGATACCTAAATGGGGCAGATGTGGGAGGCTGGAGGACAGAGGAGGAGAACTGCAGGAAGTGTTAGCATAAGGAGAGAGGGGACATCGAGCTGAGTGTTTACTACAGACTGGAACACAGTGAGTATAGAGGAACGGGGAAGCGTGTCAAGTCAGGGATACCCCTGGCCGGCTCTCTTAGAAAGGACGTCACCGGCGTCGTAAGTGCTGTCTGGATAATATTCCCCTGAATTGGCTGATGATGCGCTTAATGTCCTGAGCTTAACTGCCTTGGCAAGGCTGCCGAAAGCCAGGCGGTGCCAGCATTGCCTCCCTGCGCCGAAAGCCAATCCCAGCGGAGGAAGCATGGAGGGTCCGTATGCGCTACAGACACAGAGGGCGAGAATGAAGAAGAGAGAGAGAGAGAGAGAGAGAGGCCAGGCATGACTGAGCAGGGGAAGACAGATAGACGGAGAGGGATTGGAGGGAGAGGCTGAGAGGAGGACATGGCGACAGACAGCGAGTGCGGCTGAGCAGCAGCCATGATCAGAGGAGCGTAATGATGTGAAACATTAACAGGCTCCCTGGCTGCTCTTCAAAGTCCGGCTCCACCAGCGTGAGGGGGGGGGAGGGGGGGGCTCTAGCAGGTCTTTCTGTTCACTCTAACCATCCGAATTCATAACAACCCCCCCCCCACCACCCCACCCCCTTGGCCACTATTATAGTTTTCTCGGCTCTAATCTCTCTCCTGCTCTCTGGATCGACTGCTTTGTTCACAGAAATTTTTGCACCAGCGGTGCTGTGGAAAAATAACCATACGAGAATAGATTCCGGGGTTCGCAAAGCAGGCATGTTGTGTAAGATAAGGCCTAAATTACATATAGACTTTCAGGCCATTTTATTAGATGACCAGTACTGTTAAATTACTGCGTTCCACCTCCTATGCATCAGTCACTCTGCTCTTCACCTCACTGCCATTATTCTGCGTTTGTCTTCCTTTGACCAGTATTTTTTTTATTAATTTTTTTTTTAAAGATTCCAGCTGACCTTCAAAATTATACCCCCACCTCCCAAATCAGTATCATTCCATTTCCTCGCTTTTGTTTGAAAATTTACACTCAAAAGGAACTTATTATATATGCCTGCGTGTTTGTGTGGTGTGTGCAAGACAGCTGGAAGAGGGTATAAAATAAGGACGGTATGTGGACAGATAGACATGGCTAAGCTCACAAATGCAGTCAGACACACAGTGCCATATCTGCGGAGTAAGATGCAAGCGCTGGTGACAGTTGCTATAGGCGATACCACCTCACTTGTCGTTGACTGTTACCATCGCTCTCTCTTTCTTATTATTGTTTGTTTTCCCAATGCTCCTGTCCATCTTTTTCTCAAGACTTTATATCAAACTTGTACTGTTCTTATGTGCTGATTTTGCTGCAGTCCAGGCAGGACACCCTAGGAAAAAAAACTACCAACTATAAAGCCGGCAACATGCTCTTCTCTATAGGATGATTGTCAAATCTGTGAAAGCTATATCAATCCCTTGAAGTTTCCCTCAAAACACAGCCTTGAGCCAAATAAAGGGAAATCTCTCACTCTTAATCACTGCATGGTTCATGCCCTTAGCAAAGTCAAACCCAGAACAACATACAAGTATGGAAAAAAATGTCTTGAGTATTCACAGCTATACTTCTGCTAGATTTTTTCAGTTGGCTTCTACATTAGGCAGTTGGGAAATTTTTCCAGAACAGCAAAGAATTCCCCCAAGATTTCTTAAGTAAGTAAGACTTAAGTAAGCTAATAACTGCCCCATGGACTTGTAACATTAGCAGACAGTCAGTCTGTAGAGAGGCCATGACATGGCCAGAGGACCAATCAACAAGGACTAATATTCAGTACCCTTTAACATAGACCAATCATCCAAAACCAGCCAAATCAGGGGGGCACCACTGACCAAACCAAAATACCAGCATTTTAGCTTATTGCTCAATTAAGCATGAATATAACACAAGACAAAGATACATATTTGACTACCAGGAGAAAAAAAGTACACTAATGCTCCTCGACTTATGATGGGGTTACGTTACAATGAACCCATCATAAGTTGAAAATATCGTAAGTTGAATATGAATATGATTATGATACACTTGGACATTTAGTAGACATAATGAGCTTTGGAAGATTTGGTGAAACAGAAAAGAACTGTATGATATGCTGTTTAACACTATGAAATGTTTACGCTCGCAGTCGCTACAGAGACCAGAAGCATGTCTGGCTGGATGCCGCCATCCTCAAGCATCAGTAGGAAGCATCACAGAGTGTCTCTCTAGCCTGAGAACAGATCAAAATTCAAAGTTTGATCACTGTTGAATATGTATGGCTCTTGCACCATCGTTGAGTCAAACCATCGTAAAATGCGTAATATTTACTTATCAACCTAGTTGTACAATATCAACCGAGTTGTGTTGAAATCTATAGACTCGACAAAATGATTTCCCAAGATTTATGAGTTAGCATCTACGTTAAACTTCAATGTCTTCAATGTGTGAATGAGTCGAAGGTCTGAGCAACAGGAGACAAACATGAAGACCTATGGAAAAGCAAAGGAGACAGTCCAACCTTGACGCCACGGACACGGAATTCCGCAAGGGCACGGCTCATCTTGGTGGCTGCGGTTTGGAGGTCCTTGCCGCTGGAGATGACCTTGACCAGGAGGGAGTCATAATGGGGCGAGATGACAGCACCCTGGAAGGCTGAGGCACTGTCCAGCCGGATACCCATGCCCTCCCCACTGCGGAAGACCTGAGAGAAAGACAGAGAAGTCAAGTCTGATTACCACCATAGCAGAGCTGACGGCAGCCCTCAAATCCTTTGGAGACAATCAGCTGAGGGATACAAAAGAACACAAAACGTACTCCCTGAGCAGTACACCACCTAACATTACTCTACACACTCCATTTTCACCTCAGGGCAAAGGAAGACTTGTCAGGGAAACGTAGATGTAGGGAGTGGAATGACAAAGAGGCGTCCATGATTAAAACTGCTGTGTCGGCATTTTTGGGAGCCGCATTCTTTTAAAGATCCCTCCATCTCTTACTTGCCAGCCTGACTGCAGAAAGTTAATTTGCCAAAAGAGAAATTGATGGGGCAGTGGGAATACTGACGGTAAACATGAGAAAGGGGAAGTCAAAGACGACGTGAGGAGGCTGGTACTGCTCAAGCTGTTAGTCACCAAATTAGTAAAGGATTTATTGATGACCACTAATCCCCCACCATTTATGTTTTTTTCATATTAATTAATTATATGCTGCCAAACAGCCTGCGAATGGTTAGAAAGCCATTGCAGCAGAATGAAGTCATTAATTTCTTTCTTATGTCTTTGTTGCACTCTCACATAATACTAGTCAGTGAGGGATATTGATAAAACAGCAGGCTGAATGGATCTAGATCAGTGTTTTTTAACCCAGTCCTCGAGGACTCCTAGCCAGTCCACGTTTTTGCTCCCTCTCAGCTCCCTGGCAGGCAGTTCACATCTTTGCTCCCTCCCAGGGCAAAAACATGGACTGTCTATGGGTCCCTGAGACCCGGGGAGAGAAACACTGGCTTATGGGGATTTCCCAAAAAAGGGGGCTTGCAATCCCAGACATCACTGTAGCACATGTGACAACGAATCAAATGAGCAGCTGTCGTCTTGTTCCAGCACTTTGCTGGTACTTTGCTGCACAACTGAGAGCTCTTCTGAAAAATAGAAAAATCAGACATGCAACCCTCACATTTCATATCTGTACTCAAAAAAAAAAAAGAAAATCACTCCAGTAACATTCAACCAAGAAAGCAAGTGATTCACCATTTTAAAGGGGGTGAAGACAAGGCTTCTGACTACTGACTCCCCAAGCAGCTCGAAAACTGTTATTTCGCAACTATGTTTATTTCCCTTGCTTAAGTTTTCATCCAGATCACTACATATGACTCCAAAGGTCCTACTGGAGGTTCACCTGATTCATATTCAGCATTAAGAGCTCGAGGTCCTTTTTAAACTCACTCCTGCGGCCTGAAGACTGATATGATCAGAGCTGTCTGGTGACACATGTCGGGCTGTCAGAGGAACCTGCCATCAAGTCCACTCGCATAAACCTAATTTTATTTGCTGACAAGTGATTATCGGATTACCTCTCAGGGCCACAGACCATGGAATAAATGGGTAGAATGAGATCAAGGCCTTATAAGGGATCCATTATGCTGCTTATGGCAGGGAAGGTGAACAGAAAAGGGCGAGACGTCAGTGAGGTGGAGCGATGCCACACAAGGCTGGGCTGATACAGACAAACAGGCAGAGCAGCAGAACGCCTTACCAATCACCTGTGACCCCTTCTGTCACATACCTCTGACTGCTAGGCTGTTTTTTGGACAGTCCTACCCATCGTCCCAGTGTTAACACCGTGGGAGAGCCCTAGGGAGGGGGGCAAGCCCTCCCAAATGATTTCCTGTGCCCCCCCCGACAAAGGATCACCCAAAGACGCCAAAAAGGAACAGTTAGGACATATCACGCAATCACAGATGGTGATGTGTTTTCTATTTTTTGGGCTGTGCTACTGCTTGACAACTTTTACAGTCGTCAGTGCCCCCCCCCCACAGCAATGCCAATGCCCCCCACCTGTGCTCCCCACGGCCGGTGAAGATCTTGGGCTTCGCTGTCATATTTCTTCTGGCACAGACACTGCCATTCCCATGAGCCTTTCAGTATGTTTCACTCAGTCAGAACAGCCAAATCACTGGAATTTGTGTGCGGGTGAGATGGGGGGTGGGGGGTGGACCCAGCTATAATTGTATAATTGTGCTTCTTGTTGAGTGTCACACTATTCGATGCTAATCGATGCCACGTCTTCATAACATAATGAGCCTTTCCCGTGTTTCATCTCCCAGCGTGTGATCCGGGCTCTGGGTTGATTGTTTTATATAATTCCCAGGGTGCACTACCTACACGACCATTTACCTTCTCTCAGACCCAAGGGTTGATGGGAATTAAACAGCGGACGGATGATTAAAATCCACGGTAGGTTAGCAAGATCTGCTGTCATAATGTTAATGTCACCAAATTAAACACATTGGTCGACGATAGCTGTTGATTTTGAGATTAGAAAGAATACTGAAAATATGCAGGGAGCACTGAATGCACTGCATACAGATGTATGACAAGTGGAAAATGTCGCTATGTGACAAAATGGAGGATACTGCCATGTCTTAGGGCTCACAGTCAAATGAGGGACTCTCATCTTGGTTCCTAACCCCCCTCCTGTCCTCGTTTCCATGTTTCCCTGTGTTTGTCATTCCCTCGCAGCACCAAAACCCAGATAGGGGCGAAGCTGCGCTGAAAAAACAAGCCAAAATCAGCCCCTCTCAGCCAAGTTCCATTTATTGAAATAGCACACCGAAATGTGCTCTTCCCATTCCGCTTTTTCAATAACACTCCCCCAGAAGAGATAGTCTACCACACAGACGGCTCTGCTATGTCCAGGGTGACCAGATAATCCATGTCAGGGAGGACACTGAGCTAGGACAGGATTTGTAAACTACCATTTTAATTAAAAGGACCTGGATTCCACTTAAAGGGGCAGTTCAGCCCAAAAATGAAAAAAAAAAGATATGTCTTAGAGGGGCATTAGTGCTGTCTATCCACCAAGGTTGGTCTGCTGGGAGTTGCCTAGTTTTGGGGATATCAGCCGTAGTGCACTCTTCTGCGCAGTGATACAACTGGTGTGTGGAGTTTGGTAGATGAAAACAGTTCCTACATTAAATTACATTAAATTGCTCACTATGAAGTCTGTGGATTATCTTTAGTAACTGGGTCATGATTTCTGGTAAGCGACCTTGTTGTTGAATTTTTAAAAATGTGGTTTTTTTGGGTGCTTTAATCACCACAGAAAGAATGCCAGCCAGTCCCATTATACCCACGAGAAGCCCGACATTTCTACAGCCAATATCTCCAAAACTAGGCAACTTTTTTGCCTTAATTTTTTTCTCTGTTTTGGGGTGAACTGCCCTTTTTCTTGCTGTGTTCTGATTGATCGGTCACCAATAATCATGCGTGTCCCAAATGTTAATGTGAAACAACATTCTTTCACTCAAGGAAAGAAAAGCACAAGAAGAACAGGAGCCTTTTAGTTTTTAAAGTAATTTGTAAATCCTGAAGTAGCTCAAAGTGTCCTCCTTGACGGGGATTATCGGGTCACCCTAGCCATACCTGTCCATGCCGAATGCTGCTGTCCACCACGTGAGATCCAAGTTCAAGATGTATGCTAGGCTGGCCCAGCTAATGACCCAAACCCTTTAATCGGGAGAAGAGCCTAATCACAGCACCTGCCAACACTTCCCCACCCCCTCCTTTTCCCCTTATTTGTACGACAGTTGCCCCTACACGCAGATCAGTTCATTAGGAGTTTTAGGCCGTCCGTGCTCCCTCCCCCATGGCGAGTGTCAGCGCTCTCCTGCTGTAATGAGTCACATCATGTGTGACTTTGACTCATCCTCCATCCTCTCGTCATCCAATTAAAGTGGATTATTGAAGGGGGCTCTCCTCTAACGAGCCACACTCTGCACGGCAACCCGCCCTTTGCTTGTCATCCTCCTCGAGTGCTACCTAATAAACTTCGGCGGACCTCCCAGACTCACCGCCTGGCCTTTCTATCACATACAATGCATTGACAGCGTGTTTATAATTGCATTGTTTATTTAACGGATGCTTTTATCCAAAGTGACATACAAGGGACTGTCAGTCACTGAAATAACTGGGCCTTGCTGAGCGAGCCCAACAGTGGCACTTTTCAACCGACCATGGGATTTGAACCAACAACCTTTTGCATCACAGGCAAAGCGTTCAAACCGACTGAGCCACACACCACCCTCCAATGCATTCAAGCTAGAGGAAAGACAGCCGTTTCTGTTGAATTTCAATTTTCAATGCCAGCTATTTCTGAGCATACACAACCCCAAAAACACTACCCCCAGGATTTGTTGTTTCACAGCCTGAAACGTTGATAGATGCGTGTGGGATTATTTTCCCTCTTTTACGACTGAGAAAGATGAAGCAGTAAAGAATAAGACTTAATTGTCATGGTATTCATCCCTACTGATCAATAGAGCTGCTTTTGCCAGAAACCGCACCCAAGTTTCTGAGTGTGCCAGCCTTGCAGAGTCTGCACAGTGCAAATCTGATAAATTGGCGAAATAGTTGAGGATTGATGGGGTCCAAAGTTGCAAAAGTCTGGGAATTTTCCCATTAATTGCCAAATATTCCTGTTAATTCCCCTGGAAAAGTTTCCAACTTGGAATATTTTCAGAATTCTCCAGCTTAACGTCACATGGAATAATAGGTTTCTGGTAAGATTCTGCAAATTTTATGCCCCTTTGCAACCTTAATGGGGTCAGATTCAAGTCCAGGTTGACAGAAAAGTTCTTGATGGTGAACTCTTTGGTTTGTAGGCATCTCTGATGCGTGCAGTTTCTTTTTTGTTTGTTTTAATAAATGATGCCTTCTTGCCACACTGCCAGGCCAGATTTGAGCCACTGCGGCTACATGGCCAGTTTCACCCACACACAAGAAATGTTCTCCTGACACGACAGCGCCGCCCTGCTGCCCCAAGTGAGGTTTGGTACGACAAGCAGCTTCACAACAGCATTTAATTCCTTTTGCATTCTCCTAACCCCTCCCTTAATCTGGGCCATGTGAAAAACATTATCCCAAAGTTGTTTTAAAAGCTTCTTAGCCTTCACTGTAATTACTCAGTTTTTAAAGCTGAATAGGC